AGCATGCAAGCGCTGGTGCCTATATTCCTATCCCCAAGTGTCCCAGTGGAACAATCAGTCACAAGAGTCTAAGGAGCGCTAGTGTTTTCGGCAAGGTATCATAGGGCTGTTACGTCTGAATAGTTGGTAGTGCGCACAATGGCCGCTCGTTATGTTTACCTGTCTCTTCTAGGTCAAACTTGGGTTAATTCCATCCGAGTCCAGAATGCATATGAGCTATTTGGACTATTTGCATGAAGCCATGGAAATAGCGCCAAACACGCTGAGTATGCGGAATTCTATTATGGCCGAGAAGAGCTAAGGCTATATTGTGAACGTCATAGTTTTTTTATGAGTGCGGGGATGGCTTCGTGTTGTTTATAGGTCTAAAGGCTATGTATGTGTAATCAGCCGTGAAAATGTTCATTGATGAGGTGCTCCACTGCGATCAGTTGATTGAAAGATCATTTGGACCATGTTGAACGGCGGAAAATTTCGAAATATAGAAAGCAGGACAGATTTTTATCTCGAATAGACCAAAATAGTGCTCGATAAGGGACAAGCAGGATCTGGAGCAGCATGTCTGCGGAGCTAAGCATCATACTGCTGGAAGCCCAGATAATGAGCACTCCAAAAGTCAGTAAAACCGTCTGGTGAACGCGATTGAACGCAATCCACGGGCATTAAAGGTTAGTGTACAGAGGAGTACATTACTTAAAAACATGATGAGATGTGGCATTCATCTAACAGAAAAGATCCAGGCACACGTTTCATATAGATCATGGTGTTATTACCACATCCCCAGGAAGAGATAGTTTTAATTACTGGATTCAGTAACACAATTTATTAGCTTTAAACCGTGAACCAGTGGTATTCGAATCCCGGCCGCGACAATTTCGGTCGCTGATGAACAAGAGAGCAGACGAGGTATTGTTTGATACTTGGGACGATGACGTGGTCATTTAGTTGATAGAAGCTGCCGGGGTCTTCCGAATTCGAGAATCGATATCATCTTCAGCCAGTCTATCCGAAAATACGACCGCGCAGCTAAATTAATTTGTGTCGGGTTGATTGGCTCGTCTCCAGGCAAGAGGTTTTTATTAAAGGAAACTACTCACAAGGTTGCTGAAAACTCTTCGACAGCCCACGAGGTGTTTCGCTCTTCGTGGGGCTCATCAAGTAGGCACAGTCTCCGAGTTTTCGTCAACTCTATCTTCTACTTGAACCCAAATTGGACTGATTTCGACAAGTACACTCAGTTGCAAATCAATTTGGTTTTCACGGGAGACAACTCATAAACGAGAGAGTTCAACACTTAAGCAAGGCCACAACGTCAAGACGAAAGCTTTTGTCTGGGTGGAATCAGCATGATATCGCGCTGGTTTGAGAAGTAACTTTTCCAAAAATTGTTTTTTGGCGATATTGAGCGGAAAGCAGAGATCAACTGTGTAAAAAAAACTGATTGGCTTACAGTCTGGTTTAGCTCATTAGAAGCATCGAAGTTGAAGTACGGTGATCCCATGGGAACAACCCCGTTTTTAACATGATCAGGGGAGAAAAATCGAAAGCCACGCATTATTGGATAGAAAGTCCCGAACGAACCTGATGAAAATGTTGCATTTGTTAATAAAGGATGCTTTTCGTGAATTGGTTAGCTCCATACTTATGCTTGTTTGACCGTGATTTCGTTTCCAATCTCTGTAAAGTGGTTAATGATTTACCTACCTAAACATGGTTTCAGTTCGATTCTGCCTTCGGAAGGGCCTTAAGATGTGAAAATAAGAAGTAACCCTATCGGTATTACTTACTTACTGAACATAAACGGAGCCGAACAAAGATTAAGGATGTCAGAATAGTCAAGTGAATATTCACGTGATCAATCGCGGCAACCACTCTGCGTTAGGTGATCGATAGCCAGTTCAGCTTTGGGGACTGAGCTAGTCGCTTGTGGCAGTAAGCCGGATTAATCGGTCCAACTATGATCGATTCAGCTGAGGAGAAAATTTCAATCGAAAAAAAGTGGTCATCAGAGTTAACGTAGTATCCAAAGCCGACTAAAAGTGACTGGTTTTCATATTCCAGCAGGCAAGTTGACACTTTGAACCAGGCTTCGGAAAAACCAAGCATACTTACTTAGGTTTAGATTAAGAAGACGAATGTCAACGGTCTCGTCCGTGCTCAATATATTCGATATTCATTTCAAAACGACCAAATTCGATTTGACATAGCTATTTCGTTCGTTCTTTCGCCGTCCGATAGATATATTTAGTTGCACGCGGATGCTAGAAATAACAGGCACACACAGCTGAGGTCATGAGTAGCACTTATCCTTTGAGGAATCGAAAGGTCATCCGTCAGTTGATGAAAGAGGTTCTTAAAGGTAGCCACTCACAAGGTTGCTGAAAACTCTTCGACAGCCCATGACCTGTTTCGCTCTTCGTGGGGCTCATCAGGTATTCGCGGTCTCCGATTTTCCGTCAACTCTATCTTCCACTTGAACCCAAATTGGACTGATTTCGACAAATACACTCAGTTGCGAATCATTTTGGTTTTTACGAGAGACTCAATGAGTAAGGTCTTGGATGCTCAACTAAAGTAATAGTAAGGATCAGTCATTCAAAACCTATTGGTTTGGACATCAAAGATGCCATTGTATCAGTGGAAAGACGCAATTTAGATGTTGCTGACGTGAATAACAACTCTGATGGGATGGTACTGTGCGACGCCCATGTGTTAACAGCATTCAGAAAATGACTAAGATCAAAATTCTTAGAAAGACATCTCACTTTGCGTGCTAGACGAGTCTTCTTGCTGAAGTGGCCTTTGGACGCCGTCACAATCAACACTGCACATGACTGCATTGAATTTTTTTTCGAGCGGACGTTGCGTTATAAGTACATCCCCACCGTTGCAGCGCTTAATTGCCTGGTTATTAAAAGCAGAGACTTTCAAGAACAGACAGGTTTCAGCATGTTCCCATAGTCCCCTTAACCATCCTGTGAACCCAGTGATGAGGTAAGTTGCGTAGAAATGAACGAGAGGACATCCGCAAGAGTAGAAACCGAAAAGTAGAAGCCACAATGGGCCAAGGAAAAGCGCACGACAAATGTTTCTTTTTTTGGCTTGTTGAATGTTATGCCTCCCTTAACAAGAGTAGAGTACGGATATCGTCCCATTTACTCAACAAAGTGATTGATGACACCTTACAGTTTACAGGGCCACAATCGAAACTTTATTTCTGTAAAATGTTAGAGAAATACCAGTGTATATTTTCTTTCATGTAATCTTATATCTAAGTCGGATGTGTGCAATCGAAATATGATTCAGTGCAAAAGCATGTTTCTCAAAAGAGCGCAAGTTCGGTCCGTCCTAAAGGCGCACTTTCTTCTGCGGGAGTGCTGTACACTAATCAGATATCAGGATAACCTGAATTGATGAAGATAAGCGATTTTTGACATTTCTGCTCACCAGTAAGCTAGATTGAACTTTCCTCTCTGTTTCGATTCATTCTTGTATGTCCTTTCCGTTTCAGCCAGGTGAACAGAAATTTTAAAAAATGCCATTTTACGCATAGATGTTTCTGAAGCTGTGATGCGTGACTTACTGAATGGTAACTTCCATGGGCGTATTGCAGAAGTTCGTGATGGAACACGGACACCAACTCAGTCTTCTGAGTGAAACCAACTCATTTTTTTGAGTAGCTTGAGATCACTGTTATCACGTTTCATAAATTGAACCCTTGAAATTCAAACCACAGATCCTCAGGATCAAATGTTTCAAAGTGTCTTATTTACCAGTCCTACAGTACGACCCAGAAATTAAAACCATACCACTAAACTTCTGGGTATTCCACCAGGTTTGAACAAACAAGAATTTTCGGTCGAGCAATTAATTCGGCTCCTGAGAACCAGTAATTACCTTTGGCTGGTCTGCGACATGGAGTCATACAATCATAATAAATAAATAAAGTTCATCTCTAATCGTGATAGGTCATATAATACTTGAAAAGTACCGACAACTGCCAGAACCCACTTTGCTGCATGTGCTTCAGACGCTTTTCGTTGGATAACTGTAGTTTTCCTTATTTTCGAAAATTTTAAATTCAGTAACATTAATTTCGTCAAAATAAATCAAATTTATCCAGTCGCATCCTGCAGTTAGTAAATGACAGATGAGTCGCTTCATTTGTTGTAACCCGTGGTCTTTATTTGTATGTATACATGAACCCAAGTTTCGCATGGCCACTGCAGTGACATAAAGTAAGATAGCTTGCACTCCGTGTGGATTCACTTTTTTTTCTACGACGCACATTATCACAATCTCAAATGCTGTGATCGCGAAACCGAATGAACTCATCCTGGTCTTTGCCAGTTGTCAATCTTGAACTTTACCAAAATTTTAACTTCACTGTTTCTGAGACCAATTTTACGTTTCAACTGCGATTCTAATAGTGAAAATCCCAGAAGACCGCGCTTCGAATCATTGTCGGTAGTGAGCAGAGATAACTGAATAGATAAAAGAAATCACCTGGTTGGTTATCACAATGCTTATTGGTTGGCTCTCACCACTAATCAGAGGGACCGAGGTGTTACCAAAAAGCGTACCATTCGAGAATGTAGACAGTTAAGCAAGGTTTGGTACATAACAGACCACAAACATTGTGCGGGGACAGGACGACTGTTCAAACGAAACGAATGTTAATATAAATTCCACAAATCCCCCGACTATCCGCTACTTGTTCAACGACAACAAAATTGTGTCCTTCAGTAAGTTTGACTAATGATGCCATCCGCGGAAGCACAACATTTTCCAACCGGCCTAGAAGCGATGGACTGAAGTGGAGGGTAAGTCGGGATTATTTTGTAATACAGCACCACGTGCTTTATTTCGGCCTTCCAAAGTGAAAGCAGGTTTACAGAATTCATCCTGCTCTTCCCAAACTGTTTCTAATAATAAAAAACTAGATGTGAATTACGCCCCCCCCCATTGTGAACACTTCAGCACAACAATATGCACATTGCCTTCATTGCATCAGCAAGCTGCAAACCGGTCATCTATTTCTATTGAATAACACTGAGCTTAAGTCCTAATCGGTCTTTAGTATGAGCGATGGTGTAACCTGTCATGATGAAACCGGACATGCCAAGTAATAACGTAAGATAAACTACTGCAAGGAATAAACTGACAACGCTGGGTAAATGACGTCAGCTCTGAAACAAATCAAAGGACGAGAACTCTGTCAGATGAACAGACGAAAAAAGCGGATGAACACAAAATGATCAACTTTGGTTTTCTAGCACATGGTATAGACCAAGGGGTGCACTTAAAGTGGGCTCCAGCAGACAGACTGGTGCATAAACTGGTACATAATACTTTGATGACTAAAATTCGTCAAATAAAGTCAGCCAGAATGCTGCAGAGTTATCTGTTGGCACGTCATTAGTCATGCGCAACAGAAAAATCAACGAATTTGAATGTTTATGAGAAACTTCAGATTACGTGTAAATGATATATTTAAAATCTGGGTACTAATAGTTCGATGCAGATTTCCCACCGCTAGTTACCCGTACCTTGCAACCGTTCCCGCTCGGCTTGTTCCGCCCGACGAATTGCTGCCTCAGCTGCTTTTCGACGCGCGACCCTTGACTAAAAACATATAAGATCAGAAAATTTCCACAATCTTATTTAACATGTTGGGAACAAAGCAGCACATAAAGGTACACATGAGTTGCTAGGTAAACCACAGCTTAAATCGTTTCATTTCAATCCACGGTATTCCTGAAATGATCGAAGACATGCTTTCAAGGCCTGATATGTGACACCAGGAAATATAATCACCAGACTGATTTTCCAAGTCCTCGTAAGCAATGTGGATTCGAATCTACTTGCGGGTGCTGAGGCCGACGTGAGCAGGACTGAATGATCGCGAGAAATGAAAAGGATACTCTGTTTCTGGATACACCGAACCTTTGGTGCAACCCGAATCCCTTTCTACAGTTTTGTTACACTTGATCCAATCTTCGTAGCCTTTGATCTGGTAGGTTTTAGCACGGTAAGTGTGTACATCCGGTCATTCAAGCTGAAGAGGAGTCAAGGTGTATTCTGCTCATGCGAAAGTAGACACAACACATTTCAGGTACCATGTGGCAATCGTCCATTTATATTGTCGCACTATGGTACAACTCTTTTAGGACAATGCCCTCGCCTAGATTGCATTCCGTCTACATTCATGAAGAGTTTCCCTGCTCGCTTCCAGATGTCAAGTCAGATAGTTTGCGGCACACTGAGGCGAAATCTTCTGGTACTGTCGCACTGATTTTCTGGACAGCATACTTCAGCCGGTATTACTAATCATGCACTGACAGTGTACCAGAAGATCACAGGTTTCAGTAGTGAGTAACGAAGCGGCACTCGCCGATATAAGACAGTTTGTCTGGTTTGCACACTCATCTATATACATTGATTCCAGCTGTTGTGATTCTTTATTACCCGATGGCGGAGAAATAAAAAGTGTAAACATCTATGCATTATAACCTCCTCTCCTATGGGGGGTGTCGTTGAGATTGAAAAGTGCAAACACGTTGCAGCTACTAATCAGAGGAGCTTCAACCAAAAACATAGCGAACAGAATGTCGCTTCCTAATATCCTGTCTACAGTAATGTACGTTCTAATTCGTTAAGGTATAATTAAGAGAGCTTATAATATACTGACAAAAAAACCACAGTACCAACCTTTTCGGCCTCTGTTGCAACCTGAGTCTGTCGATGAATAGTATTGCTGTTTCGAGGCCGAAGATCAATTGTGCCGTCGTCAAACATTCCGAAAACACTTGAACTAGCGGTCGCATTTCCTCGTAGTCTATTATCGACAGGCTCTACCGGGCACTGAGTTCTATCGTCCGCATATAATGGAGAACCGGGATTGGCCATCCGGGTGCGTTCGTTTGGTATGGGTGAACCGGATCTCACAAAGCTCGAACCTGATGTCACCTCTTCAGATCCCTCGGTACCGCTCTGCAGTGCTACAGGATTGCTCCGTTGATTCTGAGTGGGTCGATCTGTTCGGCATTGTCTGCGATCCTGTGGAAAACAGCAATGAAATAAACCAGTGATCTCTGCATTTGGCCACAGGACTTTAGAGCATTATTCTGATTTAAAAAACAGTAAATGAAAGCGGGAGAAATTTCGGTGTGGTCAAAGCTTAGTGTAACTTGACTTGATTGGCTAATCTGATGGCTTCCTCAGACAACCTGGCCAAGAGCACTAATTCTCTTGCATTACCCATCACTCATGTTTAAGGAAGACGCGGTGTGCTCCAAATGATATGCCGAGTGTTCAGTCAGTGAATCACCATTCCGGAGAACTCCGTATGTGCTTCTCTTAAGTGACCCTCGTCGCCTTCCAAATATATATATATATATATATATGCGCAAAATAAAACCCAACTTTTAAGAAGGTTTAACGGTATAAAATCATCACTTCGACTGCTGTATCACAACCTCATACGACATTCAGGTCAATTTCATACCGAAACTGGAAAGGAAAACAAACCCTACGCCAGGGTACGTGTCCCAAGGGACTACGGTATTAGATGTTAGGATAGAAGCAATGATGAGAAAATCGTATTCGTTGTTTTGGAGCCAAAACCGACGGCGTCTCTGACCAAAAGTATTTAGAATTCCCTGACCTCCAGGTGGAAATGTTATCAGAAACGACAGAATTCTAGCTACTGATTCTCGAACTGTATGCGGTTCAACATTGGATTTGTGCCACTCAAGAACAGTTACTTATGATTCTACCGTCCTCGGAACTCATATCGCCTTAGTGTTCTTGCAAGCTGTGACAAATCATCCATTTACTTTATCCACCTCTCTTGCCAGCAGAGAAAACCTTATCGAATTTGACTTCTGGTTTCCCTTTGGAACTCGATGAAGGAAATTTTCTGTCCGTAACAAGTCCTTTGGATTGAGTCTCATTCGATTAACATCATTTTAACCCACAGAATCTGTTCACTTTGATGTTTCAGAAAAGTTTGGAAAACTATCAGTGGATTTACTGCAGTGCAAAGTTAATTCGGTCGACCTAGAATAACGGGATAACAACTTTTGTAAATAAGGTTCTTCCACACCATAGACTAGAACAATAAGGGTGCGGGTGGTTTACTTCCATTGGAGCAGTATCCACCATGATATGTTTGTTTTTACGAGGGGCGAAACCCGCTAGGTCAGAAAACGAATCGGTAATGGTGAAAAGAAAACACTAAAGTCCTATGTCTTCCGAATACGTTTTGTAATTCTAATTTCGCAGCAAAAGTAACCCGGAAATAAGGTTAGATGAGCTCGCAACAACCTCTCTCAACGTATAAGAGAGTTGATTCTGTTGGTACGAATAAGTGTTGCAGTGAGGAGCCCGGTAGGCTCCAATGAAGCAAGTGACTGTCGGCACGCTCAACCAGCTTAACAGCTGCCTTGCAGTGACAAGTTCGACAAACAGTCCCGTAAATAATGAATCCACCGGAGTCCATAACATCCGTAACATCGCAAACGAACGAACACTCTCTCGAAGGAGAAGTGGCCCACGATGAGTGGTTCACTTTATTGAGCTTCAGAATTTAAAACTGTATTAACTGATGACCCCAAAATGGACATGTCTCCATTATGCAATCACGAAACTTAATTGGGCCAAAAAATATTAGGTGCATTCGTTATTGGGGTTTTATATGTACAGAGAGAGTGTGGTGAGGCCTCCAAAGGTCTTCCTGTGAAGGTGTCCGTTAATGAGGTTCACTGTCACCATTCTTGTTCATCTTCGTCACTGATGAAATAATGAGGCGAACGTTGAAAGGCCTTAAAAGCCCCGGGGTACAAACCATTGCTATTGAGAACCGTACGCAGACGACATCATCTTCATCTTTGAGGGTGAAGACGATGCACACGACCGGTTAACCAACACGACCACCATCATACCATCTTTCGGTATGCGCTTTGCTCCTTCAGATTGCGAAGTCATTCTTCAGACAGTACAGTCTCTGAACATGCCCCTTACAATTCAAGGAGAAGCATTGGAGGTTGTGGAGAATCCTATATACTTCGGTAGTTGTATTAGCTCTTATGGATGAAGTCTTTGATAAAGTTAGTGCACCAATCTCGAAAGCCCGAAGCAGATTTGCCAATTTGCGCCACTTGTGACCTCCAATATCACTAGGTCTCATGGATCGCGTGTATCAGGCTATGATCAGGGCTGTATTGTTGTATGGTTGCGATACATGGTTTCTGCGAGCAGAGGAAGTGAGGCTTTTGCACGTTTTTGATCAATAATTTCTTAGAATAGTCGCCGGTGTCTGATACCGTTAATAAACTCTTAACGAGGTTAACAGAAGATGGGTATATGGTTATGCAGTCTCTGAAAACATCCAGAACCGTAAACTGCAGTGTATCGGGCATTTGCTACGTATATGCAAGTTTTGTTCTCCGTTCCCCCCTCAGAATTGGAAAAACCACGAGGTGGACAACGTATGACTTGGCAGATTGGTGTGGAAGAAACGACCGAGAATTCCTGACTTGTTAGTGCAGCTTGTCTTCCATGATGGGGCACCTGTGCCCCCTCCTGTGCTTGGCTGGAGGGGTTGCAAGAAATGGTGGATGATCGATATAGGTGGTGTTCGTGATGTTAGTAGCTGAATGAGATCTTGGGTAGGTAGGCATCTCAGAATGCTCGCGATAGGTCACCAATTAATCCCATCGCTTACCCAATCTGTTTTCCTCCTTTCACTATTAGCCTTTAAATACAGCTAGACAGACTGCGGTTGTACGGCAGTAAAGTACTACTGTCCTCACTGACGCTAAGGTTGTGATGGTTATGGTGATAATGTTGGTGATGATAATGGTCGGCAGGAGTCTTTTTTGGACATCAATGTACGTAACAGGACTGTTGGCAGGCTCGTTGTACATGCTTGTGCACTCAGCGGTGCTCGCAAACTGAGAGTCTTATGTGAGTAAACCTCCGAGGCACCCCGGATTAAACGGTTCTGTTTATGAACACTTCCAGTCGTCTAACTACTAACCCAATGGCAGTGGTTGGCCTGAAAGCAGACAGGCATCTACTGCTCCCTGCGTAGGCGATGGGATAGTTTTCACGTGATGCTAATTTTTAACTTACAGGTCACACGGCTGCGCAACAGGGAGGATTCACAGTTAACCACTGACTTCGGTATTCGTAATCACATGTGTAGCGATTTTAGAGTTCAGCCAAAAATAGTACCAGTTTTCGGCTACTTTCATAACGTTAGCTGGCGCTTTGTTGTGACTGGCATATCTATGCACCGTGGAGCCTTACGATCGTCCGGTTAAGTTTTCACTCCCAAACTGTATGGAGTTCTTTATGTCAGCCAGAAAGATCACAGTAAATTGTAAAGTACGTGATTCTACCTATAATGAATTTATTCCAAGTTTTCTCAACGCAAAGCTTTGTCTGATAGGGGCAAGAGTAACGTGATCAAAACAAGCGATGTTGGAAACTCATGACTCACTCCATTTTGGACACAGAAACTCGGCGATACCTGAAAACAACACGACAAGAAAATGAGGGCGAGAGTGAACGATGGAACACCTACAGGCGCATTATTTACGGGTACGGAGGTAGTAGTTCGTTCACGGATAGCCCGAACTGGTGCATTTCTGGAAGATGCACAAGAACGATTCCGGTTGCGTTCTAGTCGCTTCAACCCTGTCCGCACGCCAGCCCGGCACTTTGGACAGGTGCTAGATTCGTTGAACCAAGCATCAATGCATTTTTTATGGAAAGCATGACCACAAGGTAGATGACGCAGTTGGTCTTTGTTACGGTACTCAGCTACGGGAGGAGAAGAAAAGAATGCCCATACGTGACGTTTGAAAATAAAATCAAAAGAAGTGTGGCTTCTCTGTGTATACATAGGTGCATACTGAAGAATGTTGCTGAGGGTTGTCGCCACTAAGAGACTAGACCTTGGTGTGACAATTTGTGTACCTCCACGACCTATTGAGCTACACTAGGGGTGTCCCTGCGACATTTGGGGAGTCCCTTATACCAAGGTGATCAGTGACTAGAGGTTTGACGAACACGGTCTCCTGGTCCTCCAAGCTTGAAGTTGGAAAATGTATGGCGATTTGTTATGTCAAAATTGAAATGTACTTGTATTTCCCGCCAAACACCTCTGCCTTGCTGTCAAGATTTTGAGCCAACGGTTTAGGTTGATGACTTTAATCGTCCTCCTGTCTAGGTGTGGGCGCGCTGGCAGTGTCCCATCCCATGTACAACCATGAATTTCACACACGGAAATTAGCTGACGCCACATCAGCCGTCGCGTGGTGCCATAAGCCAGGTCAGTTTCCTCGCTGCATATAGCAGGGCGAATAAGTGAAAACAGGCTACTGTTGACACCTCCCTTCTTTCTCTCCTTAATTTTCCTCCCCCCTCTCCCCACCCAATCAATAATCCTCTCCTTGTAAGTTCATCGGTAAGGACTGATGACTTCATTCGTCATGTATCGGTTTTGGCAGAAACCTCTGCGCATCAACCGGCGCTGATATTCTCAGGCATCTCGAAATCAATATTCACGCCCCGAGGCCCAGGCTTCCTGACCACCTTCATTGTCCGCAAGCAGGACAATAAGCTGCTCTTGCTCTCACACCGGACTCGCTTGACACTGATGTGTGCTGTGTATCGGAAACAAATTCAAGGTACAATCACTGGTTGAGATATCCGCCCCATCACTCTCCATTTGCTTCCGGCTGCACACCTCTGCTGATTCGGAGTCTGCTGCGACAGGGGTTGCTATTGTCCTTAGTAGAAGGGGAAAGGAACCTCGCTTGACTGGATACCTATTGATAGTCGCCTCTGCGCGGTCCGTCTGATAACGTGTGTGAAAGGGTTTCACAAGCAACAGGGTAATCAATGTCTGTTTGTCTTGTCCGGTTAGGTCCCAACTAACCATAGCTTTGGAACCATCAAAGACAAGTTTTATAATGCAACGAACGCCCTGTTGCGGCGAGCTAAAAGTTCCGATACCGCTGTGGTTGCCGGAGATCTGAGAGCGCAAGTGAGTAAGCTTAGTACATCTGAGACTCAATTAGGTGGTCGACGTGGTTCGAGCTTGGTATGTACGAACAGTGGTGAATGATTGCTTCAGCTGTATGCTGAACGCAGACTGTTATTATGCGGTAAATACTTCCAAAATAGCCGAAGTCGTCTGGTCACATAGTGCCTCCAAAGGCGTGCCGGATACGCACCCAAATTGATCACATTGCCATCAGTTACCGATGACGCGAAGCAATAGCTGACTGCCACACATTTGTGGATTCCGACCACACGGTCGTCCGGAGTTAATTCTTCCTCCGTTTACCAAGGACACGTAATGTGCAGACAAATCGCCTGGCAACTGAGAGACTGGCAGATCCGGATGTTAGATGAATTTACCAGATTCATCTTCTAGAATCTCTTCCAAATGCTCCACCATGATATCTGAATTCATACTGAGACGAAATCGTCACATCTGCGTACGGTGTTCGGAGTTTTGCCTGCGGTACGGCGCTACTGGGCCCACCCAAGCACTATACTACTATCATTTATTTTTGAAGAGCATGGTCACATACATAAAAAGTGAATGCAAGCGAAGAGTGCGAATATGAAAGAAAAGAGAGAAACGTCTCACTCGAATTCATGCCACCAACAGTTCCAGTCAGATGAGATGAATCCCAACGTGTGTAAAAGTTTTGAATGAAAACACGCGCCTAAAGACCAACAACCGAAGAAAGGACAATGTTGAATGCTCTCCAAGGCGCGGTAGGCGCTAGCACAGTTAAGACTCGAACGTCAGGCACAAAGTGTCCGTCATACAGGGTCTGGTTTGAGAACGAACAGTAGTACTGTTTAAATCTCGGGAAAATATTCCAGCACGTCCTGAACATAACCTGACCAGATGAATTACTAGACGCCAAGTAGAAGTGGGCGTACGAGCCGACCGTGAACTATGGTGGACACGAAATGCCAAGAAAATGGAAGAGGCCAGAAAGCCGGGGATGCCCGAAGATTATTTTAGTCTATTGGTGTGATCGGCTCCCGGAAGCCACCTGTGAGCGAAACCATCAAGGATCAAAACGGAGCGTTCATCTTGAATAAAGATAAAACACCACGAAATTTGGGCCGAATACTACGAACAACAGCTATCGTGGCCACTAGCTGCCGGTCATCTAGAGCCCATAGTTGACCCTGATGGTGAACTGTAGGCCCCTACGGCCTGGGAGGTTTATGACTACAAATGTTCTCTCAAGGACCACTAAGATTCCGAATCGGATGTCCTCCCACTCTCATTGTTTGGAGATAGGTGTGAAGTCTTCAGTTCGCGCCTGTCACACAGGTATGCGAAGTTACACACCACCTGAGACGTAAGTGTTTTCGCGTGATGTATTCTGACTGGATTTTTTAACATCAGTGCATTTAAAGAGTAGAAGCCAAATCCTTCAAAAAGGTAAAGTTATTTAAGGACATTAAAGTACCCAGTGCAAAATACACTACGTCGCTACCTCTAATGCGTAATATTATCTGGATTGTGACAGTCATTTGCACCGCAAGAATGACGAAACTAACCAAATAAGACCAACTGGAACGTTACTACAGGTGGCCTTTGTTCAGCGAGAATATTGCATTTTGTTGCTGTCTTAGGGTAACACACTATCTTGGCTCAAGCCGCCTAAGTATCACCTCCTCTGAAAATACTTATTCTCTCAGGTACTAGATCTTAAAGACGTGGTCATAGAAAAAGACAAAGATGAATTATGCCTACCTCTAGAGATATTGTCTCGTTCAGTAGTTATTTTTCGGTAAAACCACGAGTTCCATGTTACCTAGTGGAGGGTGAGTGTAGTATCAAAATCATGGAGGAAAGTGACTGTAACACACAATTGAAAACGAGGAAAGTTGGTAATTGTTTTTTAGGCCTGTGGTTCAGGGCCTTCAGGCAAAACAAAAACAGCCCAAAGCCAGTGTCTCTAACCACAGCCAAACAGTACTGAATTGATTTTTCATTACCTTGATATTATCTAGTCTTAGTACTGGTAACTGAGCGTTATTACTGTCGCTGTCCTTCAATTGCTCCATCTGCTTTGGTTTTTGTCTGTTTTGATATGTACCTACGGAGGAGATGGAGGGGGAATACTGATCTCAAAGGTATTCGCTCTTGCGGTTCTAACTAGGTGAATGACATTTTAGACTATCGCCACAAATACTTACTAACAAGCAAGTAAACAATTATTAAAAAAGCCTTCCCGTTCCACTATGGATTACCTGCCGCATCAATCTGTATGTAAGCAAAGTGGAATAGACAGGTCAAGGAAAACAGAAAGGCTAAAACATAATTCAGGTTGGTTCGAGCAATGAGAATTGCGACCCACTCAGACAAATTTCACATTCGGGATGCCCTCTTGTCGGGGTTGACTGAAGCGGTTGAATCTCGACAACAGTTGGTGTTTTAGATACTGGATCGAGGTATGCGGAGCCCGGCGAACAAACGTTGCTCGTGTTCCTCCCAACAGGAACAACGGGAGAGGATTCAGTACTGGAGAGAAAGGAGGTATTTCCACTTGATTCTTCCCGGCTGCTATTCACGGCGGCCTTGCGAACTCGGTAGACAGAAAGCGGGAGTTTAGCCAACTCATCTTTGGTCAGTCTACCCGAGGGTTCAGCGCGTGAAGCGGGTTGAACGGGTGCAGGGACAAGTGACCGACGGGTGTTTGAATCATACCACTGAAGCCGTGTTCGGTCAATTTGAACTCTGTCATTATTGCTGTGCCTGGATTGAAAAAACATGGCAGTATAGTGAGTGATAATGCGTTTTCTGGATGATCTCCACTGGTGTTATGGCAAATTAAAGGATCTTCAAACTTGACAACTGTACATAGTAGACAATTCCAGATAAAAGTCTCATTAGTTTCACTAGTAATACTTCCGAAACAACGCTTTTGCATTACAGCTCACCAAGAATGCCCCGATGCGTCTAGCTAAAAATGTCCATTTTGAATATGCTTTTTAAACCTTATTCAGGTACTCCACGACGCTCGGTTAGATAGACTATTTCAAAAAAGAAATCAGCGATGAACGGAACAGACATTTGAAACACTCTTTGATAAAAAATAAGACAGTTTGACATTGGGAAAGTATACATAATCTTATCATATTGAAATTTGTAGTTATAGCCGCAACAACACCCTGTATGAGTTGTCAAAAACTCTGCCATTTCCACTTACGTGGATCGGCGTCTTTTGTGGATACGATGACCAGTTTCGAACTTTTCGGGTAGTAGAAGTCTACCACCAAAAGCTCTTGTCATTTTGGTGGGTAACTATTCTGGAGCTTAGCCAGAAGATTCGCGACTGAACACAGAATCTGGTTCATTCTTCGCTTTGAGGGGAGGCGCCGAATGTTATCAGGATATAGGCATTTGTGTGAAGGCTAAATGGCTCATTCTGAGCTGCCTTCAATTTACGGGATATCAACTTGCCAATTTTCTTTGCCTTAAATATTCCAAACTAAGTTCGACGTTCTAACGAAGCTAATTAATCACATATGACACCTAACAGCCACATGCCGAACATAAGTTCTTTTTCACCAGTACGTTGATACAGCAATCAACATACTCTAGTTCAGCTGGAACATTATTTCAGTGCACAGCTGCTATTCCACCCAGAGGAATCACGAAAGCTGAGACACTGCCAGATTGCCCAGATTTAACAGTAGTAGTCGAGATTTCAAGGTTTATTTCGAACAACGAACCTTCTGGTGAGTAAGCTTGTGCCTCAAACAGAGTTACCCCGACCTCACACTCTAGACTTAGGGTTGCTCTATCGTCCGACTCTCTCAACCCATGCTTCTAAAATTTTGAAGGGAAATAACCACTTGGTTCGCCGGTACATAAAACGAAGGGGCCAAATGAGCTACACAACATCGTTTTTCTAGCCGTTTACTAACGGCCTGTTCGCTTAAATTGTAAAAGCAAATATGTGGACAAAAATGATGGAACTCAAACATAAGATTCAGTATATTCGTGGTTTTATTCAAGCATTATTATTAATTAGACTACTGTCAAAGGCTCTTTCTGTGATATTCTAGGTGCCTCTTTACAATGGGCCACGAATATCATTACTTCTGGTAACACGGACGTCCAGGTAAGTTGAATTAGCGCTGCTGAGACTAAACTGAGTGGTCATGTTAGACTGGGGACTACGGAGATCGTCTGCTACAGATTTCTGCTGATCACAGACTGTTTCCTCACAGTTCGCATTTCCGGACCAACATGAACTATGTGACCACCAACTCAACCGCTCCGAACCCTAATAGACCATAATGCACTCAGTCACCGATGGCGGGGGTCGATCACGTCCTGCTGCTCCTACGTCAGTTCAAATCATACAATTTTTCGTTGCTACTTTTCATTAGACTTTTCAGGCCTACGCAAAACGCACAAATTCATTGTAATGAAAAGCCTGTAGACCTCAAAACTAAGCTGGTGTATCACAATCTGCCCCTCCAAAGCCTACAATCTGATCCGGTGTAAGATAGTAACACCCACTGGGGCAACATATACAAAGCTGCATGCGATGTCAAGAATTTTACCTGCGGCACAACCCAGACGGCCTCTTCCAAGTGTTGGATCTCTCATAAGACCGTAGGTTTGCTGAAGGATCGGTGACAAGCGCGGGAGCTGAACTACTCGCGTTCTGTTGGGTTCATTCACATGGACGAAAACAGGTACACGACAAAAACCTGAACACACTTGGAAAACCGAACTGCTTTAGTTATTATTACCCATGTGACGTTGGTATATAAATGTCCATCTCGGGCGAACTTTCTTTAAAAAGCATTTTGAAACAAAAAACAACACAATTTCTGGGGTGCCATTGATAGGCGTACGTAGTATGTCACAACCACCTTGGCCTCTTTGGTAATATTTGCCCTCAGAGCTACCCCGATTCATTGGCAAGTGCTCTATCATGCGTTGATTTGGTGGATTGTCTGGTAATTCAGCCAAATAATTTTCGCTATGCGACAGAGACGCTGGTGATCACACAGATTAAGACGCTCCAAATTCCTCCGAACAAATGGGCCAAGTTTCGCATCCACAAAATAAGGCTGTTCCTACCGTTGTGCTGAGGATTTTCTTTGGGTTGTAAGTGACGTTTTCATTGAACGTATGTGCAGGAACATACCCTTACACTTTGTGAGTGTAAAATGCATGCCCAAAAACGGTATAACTTTGGTCAGTTCATCCAAAAACAACTACACCCGTTTGTCAGTCCCCTAGCCATTGTTCCGTATCCGTGTCTCCTAGATCGACAAGTTCTTCATTAGTAGCCACTGGAACACAAGAGTTTTGGAGACTTGACAGTGTTCGTCTCACTATCTTACCGATCATAAAATTGAACAAAAATGAAGTGAAAATCTGTGACGGGCACCACTTTGTGTATGCATGCCTTTGAACAGCTCCCCATACAGTCCGACACACTTGAGCCTGAAAATACCAATAACTTATATTGACAAACTTCCGGGTCATTCCTTGTTCAGCAAGCGTGTTTAAGAGAACAGACCGAACATACCACAGGGTCAAACGCAACCTGGAAATCAAGCAATACCAAACTTGTACATCGTTTATATGTAACGGCATTGTTCCAGCACAGGATGGCATGTGAAGATTTGGTGAACGCAACCCGTCCCAGGCTGGAATCCTGCTTGCTACTATCCAATCAGTTTCGTGATTCACCATAAGGCAACGAAGGAGAAATGACGTCAAGAGTCTAGTTAAGATCGGGTCAAGCAAATCCCCTCACCGCACACATTACAAACTCTTCTTTCAGAAGGTCACTACTACCAATTTTCTGGAATGGTATATTTTCCCCTAATGGAGATGAACAGATCAGAGGAGCGCTGACTAAGGACTTCACCCACATCGTTTCAGAAGAGTTTGGTAAACAATCGGTGGTTTCTATTTGGGCAACGTTTCGCTTTTGAGACAAGCTTCACCAGGCCAAGTGATCAGGTCACCAAATTGGCCAAGTCATAAGACAGACGGGGAACCAATCAGTAAGTCCTCTTCAGATTATCACACTAGATCAGTGTTGAGTGTTAATTAATGGCTCTTGTCGGCTAGTGTGGTTGCCAAAATCTTGAATTGATGGGTTGGAGGAGTTTCAAATTAGTTCCGATCGCTTCTTTCCTTAATCTTCCACTTCAGGGTGGTTCAACTGATGATTCACCTCGGATGCCACTGGTAGATTTTCCTTCGTCTTCTTCGCCATGTGAATGCTGCGACAATTTAGTTGGGGGGAGGGGAGGTGGATAAGGTTAAGTGGAACCCAGATGATGACTACTCTTCCCTCTGATAATCGCACACCAACCCGTGTTAGCTCGAGTGACCCAAGACCGTTCTCCACACGCTTGCCAGTTCCACGCCATATGTTCTGTTTACACTAGGACGCTTGGCGATTTCTATCGCCACGGCTATCAGTCTCTGTGACGTGGATCGTAGTCCTCAACATGTTCTAAGTCTTTTTGTAATGCACAACTCATAAGGTTGCTGAAAACTCCTCGACAGCCCACGACCGATTTCGCCCTTCTCGGGGCTCATCAGGTAGGCGCAGTTCCCGAGTTTCCGTCAACCTTATGTTCTACTTGAAACCAAATTGTACGAAATTAACGAATACACACTCATTTGAAAACTAATTTGGTTTTTCGAGACTCATCTGGAACCCAGCTGAATCTCTCGGTTTTGACGTTTCCATTTTGTGTCCCGTGTCCAGTGCGTGTTCCGCAATGGCCGAAACTTTCAGTAACGCTTGATATTCGTCTGCGCTTCTCAGAGGCCTGTTTATCTTTCTACTATGCTCTCCGATTCAGATGTGTAGTTCCCTTGCTGTTTGTCCTATGTAGACCCTGGTGCAGTCGTTACACTTAATTTTGTAGACACAGTCCCTGGTTGTCTGAGTTGCTATTTTATGTTGTCTGGTATACTGTTAGACTGTCCAAAGCTATAGTGGAGGAGGATGAGTAGGGCCCTCAGTCAAGCCGGCGAGCTGAACCACCTCCTCGTGGTGCCGACCGGGTAGCCTGGACGTCTATCTGGGTGAGCTAAGAGTTCAGCAACTCCAGACAGGGCCAACCACCCCGTTTGGTTTCAGTGTGCTGGTTACTTGTGGTTCGGACTTATACTCGTACATTCGGTAGTTACGATACCTACCACTATTCTAGTTATCACATTTGGCGTCGCGATCCGGAATTTTTTTCTCTTCTCTCATGTACTATACCAGTCAAAGTTTCCAGTGGTAACTTTGTTGATTGTAATTTTCTTGTATCGAATTCTGGTCCTTCAATAATTGGTCT